GTCACTCAGGGAACAGAAAACTACTCATCCAGTGACCAGTATATTTGCCCTCTACCAGACTCCTGTACCCCACTGCTCTGGGTCTGTCACAGGTTCTATTCCCAGTCTTGGCCTAAAATTGGAATTAAAAAATCCTCATCCAAAGATTTTTCAATGCTCAATGAAGGTTTAATTTCAAATTAAAATCTCAAAACAGATGAAGGTTTGAAGTGTATGTTTGAGGAAAATTAGTGAATTGCCTGTTCCCTAATCAAAAAATGATGGGTTTATGGCTTGGAGAGCAGGCCTGGTGGACAGATAAGAATGAATACCATGCTGCTGGCTCTTGTGTGGTTTAGCAGTGTTGCCAACTCTTGTGAATTTATTGTGCATTTTGTGATATTTGGTGTATTTTTAAAGCACCAGCTCCTGGAATCAAGTGATTATATGAGAATCTATCATTCAAAACACGAACTTAAGTTTCCATCCCTCATAGTAGAGGAGAAAATGTCTAAAACATAACCGGAGTGTTCCCTAAAGGCTCAGAAACTAGAAGACAAATAAAAAAAACCCTCCAGATTTATTATTTTTTATTTGTGGGGTGGGGTCTGGCTGATGATTTTCAATGTTCAGTGCTGGCAGTACTGAAGCTGGCATGAGGGAGAGGTGTCGAGAAGATGGAGGGAGTCATAGTGTCCGTATCTTGTCTTCTCAGGTCAGCAGAAAGCAGAGGTTGAAGGGCAATGGAGGGAGCTGGAGCAGTGCTGCCGTAATGCCTCTCTTCAACAGCCGGCACATGCAGCAAAAGCACAAATCTCACACAGCTCGGGGGATCTCGCGATGGGTTCTAAAATCAAAGACAACAGATAAGGTTAGGGCCGGCTGCTCCCTTTCCTCTAACGCCAGGGGCACTCCAGCTGCTGACAGTGCCACAGACCCTTCCCAGCCATGGTGCCTGGTCAGTCCGCACCGGTCACACTTCACAGCCGAACGGGGAGAGCCCCTTTCCTCTGAGGGGTGGGCCACAGGCCTCTTGGAGGGTGACAGAGTCTCCGAGGGAATGTACATGAATCACACGGGGAAGGAAGTGAAAGAGCTGCATAGAGCTGGTCAACACTGAATTTCTCCAGGGAGAAAATCCTCCCCACCCAGGACAGAGAGCGAGATGGGAAATCAAACCCCACAGCGTAGTGGGAATCCGACGGCCTCACGGTGTTCAGCCCTGAGACTCACAGGGTCCTAGAGCGTTGGGGCGTGGGTGCGGGGAGTAGAGTGTGCTGAGAGCGGAAAGGCAGAGTGGGGCTGTGGGATGCTTAGGGCAGGATTTTTCCCTACTGAACATGGCTGGCTTCTGGGGTACCAACAGTAAACACCTACTTAGATCCTCAAATATCTGGTCAGCGTCTGGTGTGGCACAGAGGTTCAGGAACTCCTTGGGAATGTCAGGGTTGGCACACAGAGAGGCGGATCTGATGCTGAGCACATGAGGATTCCTGGTCACGGAACTGTCTATGAGCTCTTTCAGCTTCTTCACAGACTCCAGGGGGAATGAGAACTCTCCCACCTGCCAAAGAGAGACACACATTGAAATTCACTCTGTCCATCTTCAGTCTACAGCAGTTTGAGAATCCTAGAGCCTTATATATGGATTAAGTCTTTCTTCCAAGGTGGCTACCTTAGTAGAAGCCCACGCATTAGTCCAGATCCCAACATAAGTCTCCGTACAGCCACCTTTACCCCCATTGAGCAGTACCTTAATACACAAATAGACCCTTTATTTTCAGTGGGATACTCACGAAATGTGACACTACTCAGCAGGAACAATGGTGGCAGAATCTAGTCCCTGATGGGGCCAAATTACTCTCTGTTACACTGGTGTAAATCACCAGTAACTCCACAATTTGGTCCATTCCCTGGATTTTACACCCCAAGCTACAGAAATCCTTGACTGTTCAAGGGCAGTTGGATAAACACTGGTGCATGCTGGAGAACTATACTTTATACCTGTCTTTGAACCAGCTGGCACTGCTAAGTTCAGGCTACGAGATGAGATGGAGCCTTGCGTTCTTCTGTTATGGAAATTCCTTTGTGCACAGAAGGAGACGGCATCCATGACAGTACTGGGTATTTGCTCAGGTGATGTGGGACAGAAAACATGGTGATATTCTCCCATTGACTGCATTGGTCAACTTCCCAGCGTTCCTCCAATGCCGCACACACCTTTCCAGCATTCTCCTCCACTTGCCTTGGCCACCGTCCCACCCACATCCCCAGCACTTCCAGCTTCCAGAGACGCGCAGGCTCTTCACGCGGCGATTTCAGCTCAGCTGAACGAAGCACAAGTCCAGTGATTGCAGAGTGAGTCAGCAAAGCAGCTGGCATTAGCATCTCCTGGCCCTCAGACCCCGTTTTCTAATTAATTGACCTGTGTTCTCCCCGATGTAGCCTGAACTTTACAGGTTATCATCGTTGTGTTAGGAGAAGCCAGGTTCAGGATTGCCACCTGCTGCCATTTATTTACAATAGTTTCCCTTCACTTCCTGGCTGCTGTTTGCAAAGCATTAAAAACGGTGCAGAGTTATGGCAACTTATTACTGGTATTGCTCTACTAGTTGAGTCTCTCCTGCACACTGAATAAACACATTTTACTTTTACTTTTTCTGGAGATAACAATACTGACTTACGTGTACATAGAGCATCTTTCGGTGAGAAGCATTTCAAAGCACTCTTTCCCCCCGCAGCCTAGATTTCAACCTTGACAACTGTATTTCATCTCTATCTAATCTGTCCATCTGTCGATTTTTTATGTTTATATTATGTCTCTCCCTTATTGTGGAGGTCTATAAAAGGGCTGTTGATACATTGGAGAGGGTTCAGAGAAGGGCCATGAGAATGATTAAAGGGTTGGAAAACCTGCGTTTTGTAATAGACTCAAGGGGCTCCATTTATTTAGTTTTAACATAGAGAAGGTTAAGGCGTGACTTGATCCTAGTCTATCCATATCTATATGGGGAACAACTGTTCAACAATGGGCTTGTCAATCTATCCGAGAAAGGTCTGACACAATCCACTGGCTGGAAGTTGAACCTAGACAAATTCAGACTGGAAATAAGACATACATTTTTAACAGTGCGGGTAATTAGCCATTGGAACAATTTACCAAGGGTCGTTGTGGATTCTCCATCACTGGTCATTTTAATGTCAAGATTGGATGTTTTTCTTATAGGTCTGCTCTAGTTCGGACAGGAATTATTTCAGGGCAGTTCTGTGTACTGTGTTTTACAAGAGGTCAGACTAGATGATCACAATAGTCCCTTCTGGTCCTGGAATCGTGGCATGCTTTAATTCCACCCTAGAGATGGTTGCATTTCAGTGTAAAGTGAGGTGATTCTCATGTCTCTGTGGTGACATTTACCCTGACCAGAGGGAAAGCAAGCTCTCAAACTAAGGGATGACAGTGGTGTATAGGGCGTATGCTGCCCTGTGCAGATGGCTGAATGTCACTGTAAGAGGGTCCGGACTCACCCCTGCAGCACCTCCTGCTGGTCGTCCAGGGAATTAGCTTGCCAGCCTCTGGAGCGCCCTCTGCAGGGCTGTGATCCGCCTTGTCCTCTGCACTGGCCCCAGTGTCCCTCCCAGGACCCCGGTGCCCCTTTGCTCTGGGTGCTGCCCCCTGGCAGTACCCACACGCTAGGTCTCCCCTCCCAGGGGAACCCCCACCCACTATCCCTACCTCACCTCAGGATAAGGCCACTGCCAGTCCCCATCTAGCCCCCACTCCCTGGGGCAGACTGCAGTATCAGCCACTCATCACAGGCAAGGTTGGGTTTGGACCTGCTGCCTTGGCCTAGCCCTGGGCTGCCCTCTGCAACCCCCAGTACCCCTTGGCCTATTACCAGGCCGCAGCCTGGGGCTATCCAGGCTGGAGCTCCCCAGCTCCTCAGCCTTTCCCCAGCCCTGCTCCACTACAGGTACCCTGTCTAGCTCCCTGCAGCCAGGCCCTTCTCTCTCTGAAGGCAGAGAGACTCTACTGAGCTCCTGGCTCCCTGCCTTTATAGGGCCAGCTGGGGCCTGATTGGGGCATGGCCCCAGCTGCAGCTACTTCCCCAACTCAGCTCAGCCTTCAAGCTGCCTTCTCCCTGGGCTCTCTCAGGCCCTTCCAGGCCGGAGCAGGTGTCCACCCTGCTACAGTCACCCATAGTGTTTGCGTGGCTTTGTGATCATTTGGATAGAAAGGTGCTATATACCAGTGTAAGATTAGTTATACTAGGGACAGTAAACATTTATATAACCCCAGCCTTTAGAAGGTGCCTGAGGAGATCAGGGAGAGGAGACTCCTATGGAGCATCCCTCGGGGACCTGCTTCTCTTTGCCGAACAGACCCAAGCAGCAAGGAGTAGGATCGAGGAGGTGGATGAGAGCCACCCTCTGCACTTCTACTGTCCATCTGAGGGGATGCCTCCAGCCTTGAGGAGGGTGAGAAAGCCTGTTGACAGGTACTCGAGCAAAGGAGTCACACCATGGCCACGCAAGCCTGAGCAGGCCTCACAGATCCCTTGTGTGAGCAAGTGCTGACGTACCCCGATGTAACCAAGCCTACCGAACCATGGCGGTTCCACGATGCACCACAATGTGCCACAGGAAGATATCATAATGCATCATAGGAAATGTAGTCTATCCATGGCCTATAAGGTAGAATGGGAGCATGAGACACCCAAACTACATCTCCCATGAGGCACTGCAGCAGCTCAGGAGGACACATACATTAATATTGACCAGAAATAAAGCACTTGTTTAGATTTTCCTAATGGAAAATTCAGCCAAAATTCCTCTTTTCCTGCAGGAAAGTGTTGATTTTGAGTAAACCTTATGCTTTATTACATATTTTTGACTAGGCTTTGTGACATTGGTCATTAAGTTAGTGTGTTGTATATGGGTTTTTTTTTTCTAATCCCAAATCCTTTATCCTTCCCACCTCTTTCCTACATAGATTTGCTCCTTGTCTGACACATAGGCTGCCTGCTCAGTTTTATCTCACTGCACCTTTCCACGTTCTCAGTTATTTCCAAAAAAATTCAGGCACTAGTTTAAAATCAAACCCAGGGACCTGTTAAACCAAAATTTATGTACTGAAATACCTGGGGCATAATGGTTACTGCAGTTATAGGGGACAGATGGGGACAAGCTAATAGCCACCTGCCTAGCAGAGGAAGAAACTGATTATGATTATGGTTATACGTGTTATTTGTATTATTGATTGTAGCACCAAGAGGGTCCATCAAGATCAAAGCTCCATTTTGCTGAACAAACAGAGTAAGAGAAAGACCCTGCCTCAGAGCCCTTACAACCTAAATGCAAAGGACAGGCGCAGTATGTGGAGAAGGGCTATAACACATGGGCAGGGTGGCCAGGGAGTGGGAAGGGATATAAATACAGGAAAAGCGAATGAGGTGGTGGCTTGCCAATGTCACGTTCGTTCTCTGGTGTCTTTTGTTTGTTTTTCGGTTTGTTGATTTGGGTTTATTAACATAAACGTTGGGTGGGATTTTGTTCCTGAGTTGGCACGTACTACACAAACTAACTCCCCGCTAACGTTGGAATTTATTCCTTACACCGTCTGGTCAAAGTTAGCGCATCAGTAGCAACCTCCTGTCTGACCAGCCATATTGCACACTCATCGCATCCTGCCCTTTCGGGGTATTATTAAAGATTAAAGTAACAATAGACTGTCAGAAGTGCGGGTACTTTCCAGTTTGCTGCTGCAAGCTAATCCTGCTTAGCTCTATGTGCTGCACCTGGGGCTACAGGAGGAATTAAAAAACTCTTACCTGGACTGTGACACAGTCAGAGAAGGCTGCCAGGGTGCACAGACACAGAACTGCAGTCAGGAAAGCCTTCATGGTGAGCAGAAGTCTCGGGAAGTGCCTCTCAGCTCTCGCTTTGCCTAGAAGTTCTTTGGACCTGGGTTTCCTTTAACCTGAAGGCAACAAGGTGCGATTTTTAAAGGGTTCCCCTGTGGTTACTGTGTAACTAAGACACCACCGTCACTGGCGAGGGTCAATTATAACCTCCTTGGCAAAGAGCCAACTGCAGTGCCCGGGTAGAAACGAGGCCAAATAAAGATAACGCTCAATAAGCCGTGATCAATCTGTTTGACGTTTTACGTCTGTTGCTTGGCGTTTATGCTTGAATTCATCACTGACAGCCTCTGTAGCCCAGCTGTGATGGAGATCAAAGGCCCAATACTGCAAGCTGCTCAGTGCCTCCTAGGAGGTGCAGAACACCATCAGCTCCTAGGGCCTTCACTGGACTTGGGACATGGAATAACCTGGTCCCAGATGCAGGGGCGGCTCTATGTATTTTGCCGCCCCAAGCACGGCAGTCAGGCAGCCTTCGGCAGCATGTCTGTGGGAGGTCCGCTGGTCACGCGGATTCGGTGGCATGCCTGCGGGAGGTCCGCCAGTCCCGCGCCTTCGGCGTCCCCGCCGCCAAATTACCGCCGAAGCCGCGGGACCGGCGGACCTCCCGCAGGCGCGCTGCTGAAGGCAGCCTGACTGCCGCCCTCACGGTGACCGGCAGGCCGCCCCCCGCGGCTTCCCGCCCCAGGCACGTGCTTGAAGCGCTGGTGCCTGGAGCTGCCGCTGCCCAGATGTGCTGAGGATGCACTTCACCCCCATGCAAAGGGCCAGCACAGGAATGAGGCATCTCTGAAGTCCCACTTAGTCCTTCACAATAGGATCTAGATGGCACTTCAGTAATGCCTAGGCCTTGTGCTGGCTCTGTGTACCCTGAGTGTGAAACCAATTGCAGTTCCCCTAAGGGACGATGTCCAGTGACCAGGATCACTGAGCTGCTGAGGAAGATGAATGGGGTGATTGGAAGGGGAAAGTCTGTGTTAGGGAAATGCAGACTCCTGCAGGGTGCTGAAAGCGGTGGGAAAGGCAAGTGTTCAGGGTGCCTCTAAAATTCAGGCTGTCTGAATATGGATTTAGGTGCCTACATCAAGGCACCAGCACTCCCATTTGAAAATCTGGCAGCTCAATTTTAAATTAAAACAAGAAAAGTTGTTTGTTTGCTTGGTTTGAATGTGGGACATTAGATTATGCTTTGAATAGTCCCAAACTAGTTCTGCCACTTAACCAAACCGGTGATGAGAAGACACCGTGATGCTCATAGTTAATGCCACGTGTTCATACACAGAAGCTGGAAATTACTGTACCACTTAAACAGAAAACAGATGCTGGATTTCATTGTTTTATTACTGTCTATTGTTCTCCTGCCTAATTGGCGCCACCCCTAATTGCAATATAGCTTGTACCACTAGACTCATGGTCTAGTACAGCAAAGCACTTCAGCACATCCTTAACTTTACATACCTGTGCGATCCCATCTCTATTCTGTTCTATTCTATTGGCTTAATTTCAGAAACATTAGGGAGGGGCAAAGTTGTGTCAGCATATACAACAATTATTTGTGATTATATTATATCCTGGGGGGTGGCGGTGCACAAAATGTGGAAGACATACTGGAGTATATAGACCTCTGAGAAGTCAGGGAAACAAAAGTCTGGGGAGGGAACAAAAGTCTTGCTCCATAACTAATGATGCCTCTATTCTATATAGGTTCTTATGCTGCGCTCATCACCGAAGTATCTGAGTGCCTTCCAATAGTGCATTAAGCTAAATGACTACACATCAGTCACATGTTGTTTGTTCTCTCAGCCTCTCCCGGGGGAGAAGTATGTGCAATGGAGTGTTTTGTTTTGGGACGATTTTGGTTTGTTTTGCTTTTTAAAAAATTATTCCTCTTGCTATATCTTTGCTAGAGAAGGCAAGACCAACAAAACATGCCTTGCACTAGAAGCAGAAGGTGGCGAGATTTGGGATGGTCCTTGGTTCTTGGGGAGGTCATTGGACAGTCTTGGACTGGCTCCTGAGGAAGTATTGCATCCTGCACAGATGAGCTTTACCCTTATTGTAGAGGAGCGGAGGTCTTGTTGACTATGGTTTCCATCCTGGAGGTTTAGATGGTCTTATCGACAATGTCCACACTACGAGCTAGAGGCACGCTCCCCAGCTCATGTAGACGTACTTGTACTAGCTTGATGAGAGCTAGCCTGAGTATAAATAGTAGTGTAGTGGCTGATAGCTGTCGTGCCGAGTATGTACCCACAGGTTTCAGGTGCATTTGTACTTGGCACAGCTAAACTGTGCCATTGCTACCACTGTCTGTGTGACCAGCAGCTACACTGTCAGTTATACTCCTGCTAGCTTGATGAGAGTGGCTACCTCGGGGACCCGTCAGGGTGGCCACTCATGCATTCCTGGAATAATGGACGTTCTGGTACTTCCAGGAACGGCGTGGGCCTCCTCTTGCCATCTGACCCTGCCCCCACCAGCGTGACCTTGGACGAATGGTGCATATGACGTCATGATGCATTTGGGAGGCACCATTTTTAAAAGCAGGCAGCTTGCGTGTGAGATCGCAGCAGCAGCAGCAATGGAGTGGCATGTTCCTCAAAATGGTGTCCCCCTTCTGATACCAGACATCTGGTTTTGTCTGAATACTGGATGGGGGACAAAAACAGGACTGTCCAGTTTAATACCGGATGAGTTGCTTGCCTGCTGAGGATGTTCCAATTGGAATCAGAAATTTGATGGAGTCTGGTATTTTCTTTGATGCAAGCTTGTTTATTTACAAAGAATGTATGAAGTCCTGCTTCTCTGAACACAGAAGAAACCAAGAACGAAGGAGCAATTTCCTGGCTTACAGCCCCAGGCCTCTTTAACCAACACCAGACTCAAACGCTCTCTCTCTAGCTTTCTCCGGGGTCACACAGCGAGCACAGCTACTGCTTGGCTTTCTTGCTTTTTGCCTCAGCCCCCACTCTCTGTTTTGTCTGCTCTCAATTTCTGTGTGTCCTGCCTTACCCCCACCCCACTACTTAGCAAAAGTCCTCTGCCCACTCAGTCCAAACTTGTAGGTGGGCTCAAAACCTCCTTTTGTCTTAGGTGGGGGCCTCTGATTAGCTCATCCTGACAGTTATGGAATTGAAGGCTACATCCACAGCCACTCTCCATGAGGTTTGTGATTGAAGCAGTCACCAGCACCTCTCGGCATGACACTATGGCTTCTGTGATGTCCTGTCCCTTTCGATGTTCCGGGGGCTCTATGCTCTCCCCGCCCATCTCCAGTGCAAAACCTTGCCTTCATGTTAGTTTCAGTTTTGCAGCCAGCACAATAAAGCCACCACAGCAGACAGGTGTGTGGCCATCAGCTCCCTCTGTGTCTGTCTGTCTGTCTCCTCCTCTGTTGGCTCTAGAAATACAACATTTGGCATCGAGGATTTTATATGCCTCCAGTATTCAGTGCTCCCATTGCCTGACCAAGACGAAGGAAGAGTAATCAAATAATACTATTGAAAAAAGGGGTTCAGTTCCCCTAGAGGTACATGGTGACAGGCAGTTCTTTGCTCCTAGGACAGTGTGAACCAGTCAGCTAGAGAGGGAAGTAGGCAAATGGAAGGAGAATAAAGGAATAGGCTGCTGCCCAGAGCTTGTGCAAACAAAGAAGCAGTGAGTACAAGCATGCAGCCATATTGACTGGCCATGGGCTAGCAGACAGGCAGGCAGGCAAACAGCTTAGGCTGAACTGAGGGTCTATAGCTAGCAGAGGGAGCCCAAGAACAGCCAAAGGTGCGTATAAGCACACAACTAGGAGAGGGTGATGAGGCCTAGATAGTGCATAGTAAAAAAAAAGGGAGGGCGGATTTTCCCTGTGGAACAGGTGTTCAGGACGTGTGAAGTCCAACAAGAAAATGGAGAAATGGCACCTTTTGTGGGCAACGCTGGGGAGTTTGACGACAGCCACAAATCATGGGTGGTGTACCTCGAATGTTTTGAGCAATTGGTAGCTTGCAACTCCATTCCAGGTAGACAACAAGTTTCAGCCTTGCTGACAGTGATGGGTCCAAAAAGCATATGAACTGCTGCATGACCTGTTGTCTTCAGCTGTGCCAGGAACTGCCACATATGCCACAATTACTGTAGCTGTGCAGGAACGTTTTTGTCCTACACCATCACTGACAGCAGAACAATATTGGTTTCATCAGTTAGATCAGGGATCAGGGAGAGCCAGTAGCATAGTGTGTTGCTGCCTTAAGGAAGTTGTCAGAGCATTATCAGTTTGGCCAAACATTCAGGGATGTCCTCCACGATCACTTAGTCTCTGGATGATGCAACAACCAGCTCTAGAAGAAGTTATTGACTGTATCAGTGCTTACATTCAAGAAGGCGGTTGAAGTAGCAGTTGAAATGGAGACCACAGAGAAAGATTCTCTAGAATTTAATGTGAACCGAGACGTTCCCCTGCTGCATTGGGGAGACAGGACACCATGGGAAAGTAAGGAATTTCCATGTGGCCATTGTGCTCAAACTATACACGCTGAGGATTGCTGGGTACGTCAGGTTATTTTCAGAAAGTGCCAGAAGAAAGTACACATTGCCATGCCCCGTCGCACAGTTTAACGACCAGCTATGCAGAGTAACTGTACATCCAAGAAGATATCTATGAACACTGAACCTAAGAAAGGATGGAAGTCAGGAATACATTATGTGGAAAAAGACAAAAGCTCTAGTGACACTGACCAAGACCCTAGTATCACATGTATTATCAGAATCTGGAGTCAAAGATCGCATCTGGGTTATACCCTTGATTGAAAAAGTTCCTACAAGAATGGAGCTTGGATACTGGAGCTGCTGTTTCACTGATTTCTGCATCTACTTATCACCAGACTTTGACACAAGTTCCCTGGAAGAAACCTCAAGTTTTGAAGATTTATACTAGAAAAAAGTTAGTCCGCAAAGGTGAAAGTTCAGCTTGATGGACAATTTACCACTGTATGTAATTGAAGGAAAGTATCCACAGTTATTTGGCCGAGCTTGGCTTGAGAAGCTGAAGGTGAATTGGACT